ATAGGTCTTACTACTTTTGTTTATACTTATGGCACTTATGCAAATATGCAATGCAGTTAAATAAAACCAAAGTAGGCTGGACATAGGGTGCCTCCGGATTCAAATCTCGTGAGTCGAAAAAGGTTGGGAACCTCTGGTTTGGCCCCRTTATAGCCCCTAAAAATAGTTTTTTAGTTGTGTAATATCGAAGCTCTTCCTTGGCCCTTGCTAACATTGATGATAGAAGCTGTAAATGGCATTTTAATTGATTTTCGTCTATGGCACTAGTTTTAGTCTATACATATTCTATACCTACCTAATAACTCTTAAACATTTAATCGAATCTATTAATAATTAAATTTTTTAAGAAAAGTAACATTGATAAAATAAGTCATATTGGTATTTAAAGTAGGCAGGAATAAACGACAAAAACATGTTTTTGTAAACATAATAATATACTAGCAGGTTATTGTTTATATATTAGTATGATTTTAATAGGAATACCTTCGGAATGGTAATTTACATTTCCATAAACCATTGGTTCAACTATTTTGCTATCCATACTGCTTGAATCCGAACATTTCTTAATTAAATGTAGTGAACACATCAGATGTAGGATAATATTGTACAGATTTACGAACAAAAACTATTGTCTAACGAGAATCTAGTTCCAATATCTTCGAGTCACTGCTATCAGTGCTATCCGATTACCAAGTGATTTTTGTGTTGTAATTGCCATAGATTCTTATTATTATTACTGATCTTGCGATCAGGTATCAAGTTAGAGGGAAGAATTCTTATTGTTTAAGAATTCATTTTTAAGTTTTTCAAGTGAAGCCATGTCTTTAATGAGAGGATTAGTTTAGAAATTTAAATTTACAAAATTTTTTTGTTTATTTTGAAAGTTGATTACAAAATGATATAACAATAAAATATAATATCGATTATGTCATTCCCTCAAAAATATTATTCTTTATCTTTTTGTAATGGGTGTTTTTACTCTAAAGATTACTTAAAAACATATAATTGATTTCAAATACAGGAATAAAATATTCTTAGAAATATACGGTGATCGGTGATAGTCGATAGACTGTCTTTTCTTCGAAATATTTTACATTGTATAATACAATGATTTATCATAGAATTCAAATTCAAAAAATTAATTACAGTGACCTACTCAATGATGATTGATGATGACGTGCACTCCATATCTAATAAACAGCAAAGGCTAATTGATTAAAATATTTTAAGATCTAAAAATTAGGCTGTGGGTGAGTTGCGGCCTGATTTGTCGTTTCCGGTGTTAGAGACCTAAACGAAATGTTCAATACGTATGGGAAGTTATATTTATGTTATAATTTTTTTTGACATTATGATCATTTTATACTGTATTCTTAACAAAACAATAAAATATTATTAATATATGAATGCTTTTATTTTTTTTCAAAACAAATATTAATTACCTTTCATAAACCCAGGCTGCAACTCGTACGTCATTTAGGGATTGGGCCGCAACTCACCAACACTGAAAAATTAGTGTCTTTATGTCGACCCACATGCAGGTATAAGTTATAACCTACATATATGTAGGTATCATAGATTAGGTATAGCCGTATAGCCGCGTATAGGTAATAAATACCTCTATATCGAAAAGATAGCTATTTAGCTCAACGATAGTTTTAAAATCAATAATAACTGTTTTAAATATAACTATAGTTTTCGTTGTTTTTAAAATGTGTTTTTTAATCAGTCAAAATAACATRTTATATCATTAAAAATTAAACGATTTTTAAAATAGTATTTACTAATATAAAAATAGTTTAAAAATGTATATATAAAATATTTGCTCCTTTTTAACTATATACGATAATGATGTATACATTAATATATTTTTAACACTAAGACAATGATTATTTATTGCTCTATTAATTATAAACAAAAAAATATTATTAGGTAAGTACTACATAAAAGTACAAAACAACTATAGGTATAGGTAGGTAGTTTTCCTGAAATTAAAATTGTAACGTACCTACAATAAAAGTTAATATATTATTTTTGAAATTCAATTAATAAAATAAYTTATAATAAGGACAATTTATTGAGACTTCAAAGGTTTTTAGAAGTGAAAATTAATGCGTGTAAGCCGCTTTATTATCTACATAAACTACATCAACTCCGTCATCGTCGTCAACAAACTTAATACTCGAATCATTTATATACTCAGCCTTTTGATTATTTTTAGAAAAATACGCTTTTGGCGATGATTTCAGGGTTTTCAATGAAACACAGTCTTCGTTAACTAACGTCGATTCACTGTCAGCAGACAACCTATTATTGTATTTGCTGCTAATTTCGCAATTTCTTTTACATTTGTCGTTTTTTATGTCCAAAATGGACATTTCCATACTTTCGTGGTGATCCCCAGGACTTTGGTCCGATAAAGGAGGTATCCATAAGCAATAAGCCGGGTCCATTCCTATGTACGACCCAGGCACACTGTTTGTGTTCTGAACGTTGTAATCATAGTAATCCATCTCTAAGTCCGACACGTCRTGGCCGTGAATACTCGAATCTGTGCTACTAGTCAACGGGTTGTGTTTATTATGAATTTTTGGTCGGTCATTCAAAGTAGACGTTGACTGGGTTATCTATAAATAAAAATAAAAAGTTAAACATTTTAACAACCTAAAATTTAGTATTTACAACAGATTAAGAAAATATTTTAAGAATACGAACAATTTTCCTTGAAGATAAGGACGTTTGAGAAACAAATGGTGTACACTGATCTATTGTTGAAGAACACRTGACAATATTTTCTGGTACTATTTCACTCCTATATATGTAATAATATRTATAATTTTCTACTATGATAAATACTTTTTATAAAGTTATTTGACCATCCTCTACAACAGATATGAAATAAAAAGATAATTATAAAATTTACCCAGCTACAGAAATYGTTTCTCCTTCAACCACATCATCTTGGTTTTCACCAGTGTCTGAAATTTCTATTATTGGTGGTATATGTGATTGTAAAGTTGTAGTTGATGCTGWATAGTCATTATCGTTTAACATACTGCAAGTTGAACCCACTAAAAATAAATATTTGTATTAAATGGCCAAATACATTTTATAATTTATTTGCGTACTATTAGAATGTTTGTCCATTGTAGTAATAGCTTTATGGTATTTGTGTTTACGTTCAGCGAATTGCAAGGAAAAACACATACAAGTAACCAGCAAAAATAATAAAATTGCAGAAATTGTAGCTAAAAACGAATCAATATCTGATATTAAATAAGTAAAGTTGTTATTGAATTCTACATGGCTTGAATTTGGCAATGACCAATTATTGGCTCCTGTGAAGACAATTATATATTTATAAAAACATTTCGTTATAAAAATAATATTTCGTTTAACAAACATTTTTTTAACTAACCAATGCGATTTATTTGAGCGAAAAATCCTCCGAAGCAATCACCATTTGATAGCACAGTAGAACTTGAAAAAAATTCTACCAATAGGTATGATCCAGTCGACATAATAGGATTTGTAGAATCTGGAGTCCCTTCTAAATTTGCTAAAAGGTCGGAAGCTGTTGAGTCACCATCGCGAAGTTTAATCCATTGGTTCGAGCATGATAAAAACAGACGGATGAACTCAAATTGTATAGTAGTTTTTTCTTCAGTCTAAATATAATACATTGATAGTTCAGTATAGACATAARACACAAAAAAATTACTTACAAAATAAAATATTCAAACAATATACGGTTTATACGATACAGTATAAAGTCGAACAAATAATTCTAAACATATCGGAAAAACTGTTACTAGACATCGTCTCATACGAAACTGTTTTTATATACTAGTGTCTAGTTCAATACTTTTATGMAATTTAAAACATTTACTATCAATCATACTTTTATCAACCAAAACGATCGTCCAGGACACCCTTTCGTCGTGGCAGATAATGTTCGAGTAGCTTTGGACATGTGTATAACACACCCACATCGGCATTCAGCCCCCAGTTCATCACTAACATACGTGGACAAAAAGCCGGTAGTTGAGGTGTTATTGTATTTTTGAATTTGTAGTTCAATTTTTCCACATTCATTGCCAGACATTTGTTTTTCACCACATGATTCAGTTTGTAACGATGAACCCTATAGGATCAATATTAAATATTTTAATCTATATTATATTGAGTGTTTGAGTGCATTACATTTTAATGATATTTATATATTTACTTATGAATATATGATAAATGTGTTATGACTTCAATAACAAACAATTGTTTAATAATTTTTATTATTTATCGAGTTAAATTAGTAAACACGTACACGATAAKTAAAATGGCTGGGTATAGTAATAATATGTATAAAACATAGCAGCATTACTAGCATTTATTATATCTATATTAAGAAGTATATAGAATAYTCAAATATCTCGTATATGCGTAGATATAGTAAATTTATATTCTTGTAGGATTCCATTTAAGTTATTTCGTAAAAATTATCGGTTAATATATTATAGCCATGTACTATATACTAKGTAGTGGTAGTCATCATGTAAGTAGGTATAAGAGTGTATTCACAATTCATACAATATATATATACATTATCATAAAAAAAATAAACTTAAATGTGTCATTATATATCAATTCATCATAAACTTAAGTGCTTTTGTAGTTCTGTAGCCTACATTTATATATCTACCTGACAAAATTTGGCTCCATATTTTGGTGGAGGCGAGTCACAAGTCCTATATCTGTTCCTAGTCCCTCCATAACATGTAGTCGAACACGGCGACCATTCACTCCATTTACTCCATTGTCCAGAATCGTCTTCTATAAGTAAGTCAATCACATGTTTAAAAATTGTATTCGATTTATTAAATGTTAATACTCATTTATTATATACGCAATTAATAATCATCAGGTATTCATTTATTCATTATTGCTATRTACGTACCAGTGATTGGCAATGTTGGCACACAGTTCGTTTTGATGTTTGTATATGCTCTGTTTATGGCTTGATTAACATAGACGAAACAATATTCAATATATTTTTCTGAAAACAAATCGCAATCGAAGTTCACATTATGGCGTCCTTTAATTATTCGATGCTCAGATACGTAATGCAATTTCGTCGGTGGTAACAATGTAGATACATCTTCCCGTTGTCGACCAAACAGTCTGATCTGTAGAAATTTGAATATATTTGAATATTTTAATACTAACAAATTAACATTTTACAAATAAATATTGAAGATATTTGTAGCAAAATAATAAATAATTATTAGATACTAAAGTGTTTTAAAGTTTTACTTATAAATACAATATTTTTAGAAACTATAGAAAATATTGATGATAAGAATAAAACATAACAACTATTTATACAATATTTACTAATTTTCAGTCCAATTTTTAACTTCAATCGGTTTTGAATAACGTTTATTTGAAAGTTAAAATAACTTTTCAATGCTGAATAAAGGAAGTACACAAATTTGGAAGATTTTCAAAAAAWTTTAAGAGAGTATTTACGCTTGCAGKTTTATAAAATTTATTTAGTTTGTTCGTATGRGAAACTTTTAAAGTTTTAACTATGGTATGCTAAAAATAAAATCACGACTTCTATAATTGCATACACTAGAGAACAGATTAAATTTATTACTTTGTCAGAAGTTGGCAAGATACACGACGGGTACTGAAACATCACAGGAACACCRCCACCGTAGTTATCACAAGGGAATATTGATTTGCCATGTACGTTCAAGGTAAATTTATTGCTCGGGACAACCTTATTTTAAAGCAAAACTCAATTAATTAAGCATATAATATTATTGTAGTCAAGACTCATGGTATAATTTTACTCAAATGCCTACCTCTAACTKTCCGTCCATGACGTGAGTGAAAGCCGCTTGGCGTTCAGGCGGTCTCAATACCGCCGTGTAAAAACCGGCAATACCAAAGACATCGCATTTTAGAAATAACTTCCTGAATCTCGGGTAACCACGGATTTGTTCGGAATGAACGATCTGCAACAGAAAAACAAAATTCTAGTATACGCACTATATTTGTTCCATGTACGTGTGCGTGGTCAAATTATTTAAGCCGATCAATACATATCACATATATGCACGCATACCAAATGTTCCATAGAACTCCGGGACGACTCTCTGGAGACATTCTTGCACGCATTGGCAGATAGACCACAGTATATCAAGTCGAGCCACAGCATTGGCACAGCAGACCCGACGGCAGGTTCGCATTGAGGCCCTTCGAATTTCATTACGATTACGACTTGTTGCCACGGATCTGGGTACGTCGTAATCCGTTTTGGTTCGAACGATAAACTAGCCTCGGGCCATCGGACGTCAAGTTCGACCGTTTGCCCGTCCTACAATTATTTATTTATGTTGAAATTATTATGTACATTTTGCTTTAGTGTACAATAATATTGAACGTTGGTCGCCAGCTATAGAGACAACTAGAACAAGTCCAACCCTTGTCCCTTAGGCAAGGGGGCAAAAGGATCTATATTTAAAACCTAATCCGAAATAAAATATATTTAAAAAAAAATACCTTTGTTATTATACCTTTGTATACTAATGCTTCAAGTCACAAAAGTTTTATAGTTAMATTACTTTATATATTAATAAAAGGTTATATAAATGTTAAAATATATTTCATAATCTTCATAAAGTATAGTCCACCTACTTGAATTATGTCATCATCYTCGGTAGTGTCATTAGTAATTAATTGAATTATATAGTGTCCCCCTTTGGTGATAACGCCACAGTGTATGGTAATGTTTTGCCAACTCTCATCTACAGGTATTGTACCCATTAATGTAAAATTGTCGTTTTTAGCTTCATATAGCTGCACAGCAATACCTGGCTCTAGTAAGTCTATATTGAGGTCACTCATTAAAGCTGTATAGTTGGATGTTACGTTTAACCATTCTTGAGCTACTACACATACTAAAATAAAAAATAAATAAAATATTATTCAGCTAATAATGTATTGTAATCATAATAATGTATTGATTAATKAATGTTAATAATTTTTTATGAAGAGTTTGATTATTAAAAAAAAAATAGTGGTTTGGCATAATATGGACCGTTTCAAAGTATTTAGCTACATTTATAATTTATGATTATGAGTTATAACATACATAGGTAGGTCTTAGTAGTAATATATTATTTACTTATTATGAACGTAAAAATATATATGACAACATGATGCGTATAAACACAAGTCATAAATTATGCCGAAATACACAATTACTGAAAATATATTCGATTATGCCTATTAAATCGAATGAATATTGAATTTGTATTGTTTGTCATTTCTGGTAGGTACYCAAAGTCATGGATGCATTTAATTATATCACCTGAARGTGGTATTCAACTATGTCCATAATCTGATTTCCCCAGACTAAAATAAAGTAAATAATTATTAACTTTTATGAGAAAAGCCAATTTGAAATAAAACCTAACTAAGTTTTAATATTATTTGTAAACAATATAGCCAATATAAGTATACATGTAGGTATTTGTTTTAGTTAAGTATATACAGGGTGTCCCGCGAGGATTTACCCATTGCGGTATTTCACGAAATAATGGAAATATCAAAATTCTGGTTTTATAATAAGATTCACWAGGATAAGAACTACAATTATTTCATTTTTTAATTTATTTTAGTGTATTTGTAAAAAATTTAAAAAATTTAAAATTAATATTAATTTCCTGATTTTTAACATTTTTTCTAGTTTTGAAGAAATAAAA